TTGTTAGTCGTCAAGCCCAAAAATCATGATGATTTTTGTTTCATCACTGATAACCTACACGTTTTCCATACTTACAATTTATAATCAGCAATTAAAAGCATGAAGTGCTGATAAGTAGAAAAATCTAAACACATTTTTTCTCATCATAAATTTTATCATTTTTTCATAATTTTCATCAATTTTTATCAAAATTTACTAAAATAAATCTTTAACTAAGTCAAATGGGTTTAGAAAGACTACATGTTAATTTTAAATTGACTATATAGGGTATATTCACCATTTCACAATGTTTTATTGAGAAAATGGAATGAAATATTGTATTCCATATAGAAAATGTCATCTGTAAGGTTTTGCGCTAAAATGAAAGGATATTGAGATAAAGGTCATAGCATCGAGAAAAAATTTAAGAAAATATATTTTCAAGAATGCTATTCAAATATAAATGTCTTTAAAAAAAAAAAAAAAAACTATTTCGAAGTCTAGCTCCATTATTCGAAGACAAATTGAATAACTTTTAAAAACAACCAAAGACGGTATTTTCACCCAAAGAAGTGGGTATCCCTAACTTATTCTTTTTCTTCCTTTAGCTGCTAAATAGTTTAGAAAATTGATAATTGGTCATGAATTAAACAAGAGGGAACTAAGAATTAATTTTATAATTGTAACATCATATATAATTGACAATTAATAACATTAGTGATTTGTACACCAAAGAAAGCAACATGGCAGTTGAAGCATGTGAGATTGATAAAGAAGTTGCAAGGTTGGTTACATCATTTCTTGATTTGAGTGTCTTAGGTGCCTTCTCTTTCAAAATTTCTTGCTCCTATCAACCTCCAAGATTTTGTTTGTGTCATAAATATTCTTCATTATGCTAATACCATAACAATTTAAATGGTTCTATAAAACAATAACAATTCGACTCATCTAAAGTTCGAATGAGTATTCTTTTCTCCAGGATTCGTTCAACATCAACACATTCAAACAATTATAAGCATGTTATAAGTAGGTGCCACACTTTTACGTTAATAAAGGTTAAAAATGGTTAGAATTGACACATTCATTGTTAATTTTTCCCGGATCTTGACTTGGAATGGAAAATTAGAGCCATCCATTGCTATTTTTCCCAAGATCTTGATGTGAAATTGCTATTTTTCACGAGATTTAGACTTGAAAGATTAGAGATATCTACTGCTATATTTATCAAGATTTTGACATGAAAGGTTAGAAACGTTCACTGTTATTTTTTTTGAGATCTCGAACTAAAACTGCCATTTTTTATCGAGAACTCAACACGCTAGGTTAGACATCATTGATATTTTTCCTGAAATTTTGACATGAAAATTAGTTTGGCAGTATTTTCTCGTTTCTCTATTTTTTCAGTATATAAATTGGCCTTGGAACTCTGTCAGAACATAACATGCTACTGCTACAACACAAATCTCTCTACATTGAACTGTTCTTCTTGTGTGGCAAAGCAATGCCCAAAAACCTTAATTTCTGCTTCACAAAGTTCAAATCTTTGCAATCTTCTGATGAAAAATCCCTCCAAGAAAATTACAGACGTCCTTTTTGCAATCCTGTGGCCGCATCTTTACCCATCAAGAATTTCAACTCTCTCTATGAAAACAATATCGACTGCTCTGCCACTACCACTGCCGCCTCAGTCACCTCCTCCACCACGTCGGACTACCATTCTTTATCTGACCGTGAATCTGAATATGAAACCACCAACACAGCAGATTTCGCCACCGCCTTCGCCTCCCAACGCTTCTTCTTCTCCTCCCCCGGCCTATCCAACTCAATTGTAGAATCGACATCAGTGTCATCATCACTAGCAACAACCTCATCTTCATCGTCGGGAAACCCTCCGGAATCGGATTCTATTGCCGTTCCAACGTACTCGGCGGACCTCTTCACTGACTTCCGGCGATCCATGCAAGATATAGTGGAGGCGCGTGAACTAATTGATGTAAATTCCGACTGGGATTACTTGCATGAGCTCCTCATGCGCTATCTATCCTTAAACCCAAAAACCACACATAAATTTATCTTCGAAGCTTTTGCCGATCTCCTTGTCAGCATGATGAAACCACCGGCGCCGGAGAGTGGCCGCCAGAAATAGGAGAAATGCCTGTAATTATTGATGAATATATGTGGGGATAATATGCATTTGGTCCCCATTATCTTCAATTATAATCAAATTTCCTTATCCTTTTACGGCATGTAAATGCTTTATTTTTTGTGCCTCTAAGATAACTCTTGTCGTCGTTTCGTTCCATTGAAGTAAATTTTCCACATATGGAGTCTATGAAGACAAAATACGCTTACAACGACTTAACTTTTAGATGAAATGGTTCAAGGGTTTTCTTAGGCAGCTCAATTCCATATTCCATTGCTATATCTGCCAAAAAATTTCTGATTTCTGATAGGGCTGAAAAGGAATAAAACGTATTCGATTCCTGATCTTTGTATATTCTGAATCCTGATGAAGAATCAAGTTTGGCGTATAAATCGCAATCAACAACAGCAATAGATATGGTTTATGAAAAAGATTGGGTCAAAATATCCACCTTATTCTCGAGCTAAGTAAAATTTGTAACAAGTTTTGAGATTATCTTGATCATAAGCACGTGATCTAAAGACCGTAGATACACTGTGAGATTTTTTGTTCAAGAAACCAAGCAAGATTATCAACTTATTTGAATTATAATCAATTATTTACAGACATAATCTGTGAAGTTTCAGCTGTGCCAGACACGGCCTACGAAGAAACAGCAGGGTGTAAGGATTCATTAAATTGTTTTATTCATAGCAAGTTGAGCAAAAGAACCGGGCTAGACGGACAGAATTACTCATCTGTTTATTTAGAGGTACAATAATGACAAAATTTGTACAAGATTAGTTCATATGTAATAATATCCTTTCAGTGTCAACAAAATAGGTGGGCTCATTGTTTCTTCTGAACACAAAAAAACTCTCTTTTAACTTGTTCAGTCAAGTTAGAAACTTAGGATAATGTTTGATAAAAAAACGTGTCCACCAGACAGGCCAGCAGACAGTAATAATTTGAGATTTTACGGTTGAACCATCTCATCTAGAAATTTGAAAAGTTGTGGACACTTTTAACTCGCGAAACTATCTAATCTTTCATATCAAATGTGCCTTAAATCGTTTGATGGGACGGTAAAATGCATAAAACTGTTTCATCTGGTGATTGAATGAGGCAGAATCTTGTAAGTCAAGACAATATTGGGATTAAAATGAAGCCGAACTCAAATGAAAGAAGGACCGAAGACGGATTTAATTATATATTCAGATATGACACAGAAGCTGACTTGTTTCTGCTTACAAGTTGCAGATTTTACTAATAATTGTTTTGAGCAACTGGAAAATTGATGGAACTGGTTGGCTGTACTAGTCATTCATATGGTCCTGCCATACCATTCACAGATCCAATGATGTTTGTGCCATAAGATCATATCTATTTTTGTATCCATCTACGTTCATTGCCTATCCTGCAGATCATCTATCGATATTTTTATGTAAACTCAAAACTCATCCATACTTCTTAATCACACATTTTCTTTTAAAAAAAAAATCACTATTCAAATCAATTTTTTTGTTCAAATAATAGCCATCAATTAGCCCCTATTTGTCTTCTTTTGAAACAAATTTTTAATTCTCACTCATTTTCAATTAGGGCTAAACAAAACTCTCGAAACTAACTGACCAAACCGAACCGAATGGTTTTTGTTACATTAAATACCAAATTGGGTATCTGAATTGAAACTCGACAGATTGAGTTCGGTTCGGTTCTCGATTTTAGATCAAGAACCGAATAATCGAATCTCCTTAATTTTTATTAATTAATTTATTTTAAATAAGCTAAATTATTTTATTTTTCTAAAAATTTGATAACTAATTAATTTAGTTCAAACCCAAAAATATAATTTTTCCTATTTTTAATTTTCAGTTCAAAATCAACTTAATCAAATTGATCTAACTTTTATCCAAATCTATTACTCTACCATAGTATCATTTCTACCGTTCTAGAGAAATAGAATTGAAGTTCGACAACGCCTCTTTTAATTGTTTTGAGCTCGCTATTTTTCTCTTATTGTGATTTTAACAATCTATGAAGAACTTAACAAAGAGAGGCGCAAAAAATACAAAAGATTATACTACGTTATTCGATAAGAGTTAAGATTGAACATATCATTAATTGAATTAATATAACTTTGTAAACATTAAAATTTTTAATTATAATACGGATCCTGGAAACCAAACGGAATGAAACAAACCCAAATGGTTCCTTAATTAAATTTGAACCTCACGGTTCCACTTACTAAGTGCCCGACAATTTCGGGTCCAGTTCAATTCTCGTTAAAATCGAACCGAGCCAAACCATATCCAGCCCAATTTTTATTTATATATTCACACAATAAAATATTTTACAAGTAAATCCAAAAATTTTCTCTAATTTTTAACCACACATTCTTCAAAAAAAAATAATTATTCAAAACATCATTTTTCTCAACAACGACCATCTAACAAGGGCTTACTTTCATTGGCAACATAAATTTCGGAACAGTTGGTCGAGTCAAAACCTAGTTTATATCATTAATATTCAAAAACCAGCAAATTGGTCCTCAAAGTTTCATTATATAACCATCCAAGTCTCCGTAAAAGTATATTACGACGTTACTTGTCGAAGATATGAAGTCAATTTTTGTTTCATGACATGGATGGGCGCCCAGAAATTTGATGTGAGATTCATTTTACGAGTGCCACATGACGATTGATTTCCTCTTGCGAAGAAAAAAGATCACATTATTCCCAAAACAGGGAAGAAAGGGTTGAGATACCATAAAATGAAATGTTGTTCCAAAAGAATATTGCAATTCAATAAGTGGGTATAATTTAATAAGTTCAATTAAATGAGTTACCCAACATTGCAATTAGATAAATCTATCGTTTAACGTTATGTAATTGCCATGTGTAATAAATAGCATTACTTATTCCAAAAAGGGGACATTACAAGGTTAATTAGACAACTAAACTCATTCATAAATCTAATGATTTTGCCACAAGATTTAATGGAATCCAAAAACATAAAAAATGAACAAAAATAGATATAATTAATAGTAAAGATGTCCAAATAAGCAAATTACTAACTGTAACAACTTCGGTAAGCAGCAGCAAATATCCTTACAAAACGCCAAAGAGAACGGTATGAAAAGATGAGGCTCATCGCTTCTTGGAGACACCAACAGTCTTTCCCCTGCGGCCAGTGGTTTTGGTGTGCTGTCCACGCACGCGAAGACCCCAGTAGTGACGTAGACCACGGTGATTCCTACAAGAGAAACAAAACCAATCAAATTAATAAAAAGCAGAAGCAAAGGCAATACATGGACATTTGAGACAATTTCAGAGTGAAAAAGCCAAACCTGATCTTCTTCAAACGTTCAAGATCGTCCCTGAGCTTCATATCCAAAGCATTTGAAGTCACTTGAGAATACTTCCCATCCTTGTAATCCTTCTTCCTATTCAGAAACCAGTCGGGGATCTTGAATTGACGAGGATTTCCAACAATCGTCATCAAGCTGTCAATTTCTGCAGCTGAGAGCTCACCGGCCCTGGGAATGATTTATTGAGAACTTTCAATTTATTTCTCAAAAGCTATATTTGAGAGGGAGAAAAAATGGTTCACATGCATTTCTACCGAGCCATGAATAGAAGCAACCGTAAAAGATCAATCATGGCCAGAAATTCAACAATAAAGGAAGATTTTGAAAAATGAAGCTTTTAACTCAATATGATCTATACAGCCCAACAGATAGAGCAACGTGCATTCAAGAATAACTTCACAAATGCAAACAAGTTATCTGTTTTAAGAGCACTCGGTTGAACCGAACATACAAAGTCGAGACGTTTACATTGCACATATTTCATGACACCAATTATTTTCTAGCACAAAAAACCAAAATAAATAGGATGGCCGAAGTATGGAGTTGCGATCACAAAGAATGGATTTTTGAAGAATTAATTCTAACTTGTTTAGAAACATTTTCGAAACCCAATACTCGTGTGAAGTAACAATCATGATAGGGAACAGTGCTATCCTTATGCCAGTATACACAACACTACTTAATGGTTTAACATCCAAACCAAGCCAAAGATTTTTTTTTATTTTTTTTAAAAAAAGGAACATCTTAATACATTAGATTTCTTCATGATTCATATCTCCAGCAGTAGGGATGAGTTTATAAATCCGTAGTTCACGGTGGGATTCAACAATTGAAATTTTAAGGTTTAAATATGTTAATTCAAAGTTCAAGTGCTTTACCCCACCTCAAATTCTAAAACCCAATTTCACAGGTTTGAAAGCACGACTTGCAGTCCACCTCATATAGAATTGTGCCATCTCCAAGCATGATACACAGACCATTGGAAATAAGATTTCAACAGAGTTTATCAAGCAAGGAGCAATGTGCCCTCAAGTGTGAAGAGTGGAAACAATCAAGAAAACATAGATCTAAAATTGTACTTCAATGGCAATCAGCAGCTGCAACGTGGAAACTACATTTAAAAAGAAAAAGGAATAGCAAAAAGGGTGCATAGATCACAAGCATAAACAACAGTGTAAATTGTAGGTCCAAGAAGCACAAAACCCACAAATAGCTAAAGCCAATATTATTAGAAGAAAATTTTACGGGACGTTTGATTTGCCGTTTTCCAGCCTTTTTCTGTTTTTAGTTTTTCGAAAATGTCCAAAATGCGTTTGGTCACTCGTTTCCGAAAATGCATTTCCGAGAACAAGGAAAAATTTAAGCCCAAAAACTAAAAACAATTTTTATTTTTTTTTAATAGCGTTTTCAATTAAAAAACTCAAAATGCGGGAAACGTTCCAAACACGCCATTTCCCCTCTTTTTTTAAGGCATGCTCAGCAAAACTTTTAAAATAGTAAATCCATCAAATTTAAAATATATATTATCTGGTAATATATTAGCTTAAAATTATTATGTTTTACTAAATAATCAAATTAATTGAATAACTGTCATAAAACAATTTCTAAACATTTATTATTTATTACTTTATTTTTGCAGCAAGAAAAAATAATAAATTCACCAAGTTTAAAATATATATTTTCTGGTAATATATTAGCATAAAATTATTATGTTTTACTAAACACTCAAATTAATTGAATAAATGTCATAAAACAATTTTCAAACATTTATTATTTATTACTTTATTTTTGTAGCAATAAAAAATAGTAAATTCACCAAATTTAAAATATATATTATCTGATAATATATTAGTATAAAATTATTATATTTTACTAAATAATCAAATTAATTGAATAAATATCATAAAACAATTTCTAAAATTTTTAAACCAAATGCATTTTCTAGTTTTCAGTTTTGAGAAATCGTTTTTCAAAATGACAAACCAAACAAATGAAAACGGAAAACGAAAACGCAAACCAAATGCACTCTTAAGTTTTCACTTCTGCGCTCATTAATTAGCTAATAACAAAAATCATACTAAACAGAAAGAAATTGATGTTATATCACAACATTCTGTCTTTATTTCTTTTATAGTTTAAATTATTAACATGCAGGCAAAGGGTTCTTTCATATAGTTGTAATTATTATTGTCACGTCTTTTAAATTTAATACACCGTAAATGGGATAAAAACAAGCTAGATTGCTAAAATATAAAAATTGAACAAAGAAATAAACCTCTTGTTCATATCGATGTCGGCTTTCTTGCAAACGATATTGGCAAATCGGCGACCAATACCCTTGATGGAGGTCAAGGCGAACATGATCTTCTGCTTCCCATCCACGTTCGTGTTCTGCACACGCAGAATATGCTGGAAATCCTCATTTGCTATCAGAGACTGCATTTGAATTTTTTTCCCCCCAAAACACAAGGAACGGATCAGCAGAAGAACAAGTAAAAAGGATAAAAATGTTGAATACAAATTAAAAGAGAAAAAGATAGAGAGAGGATAACCATGGCTAAAGTTGCGAATTTGGATGTGGAGAAGCTGCGATTAACCCAGATCTGCTGCTTCGCTTCAGTAGAGGAAATAGCCACAAACCCTAGCCTGATGTGAAGCTTTTATATAAATGGAAGGAGAGACATATGTTGTGGCCTGTCAATGCTAATTGGGCTGGTTAGGATAAATGGGCTGCCATCAGTAATTTTGAGGAAAGATCATAAAAACACAGGCATTTAGGCCCTGTTCTCTTTACCGTTTTCGGGTCGTTTTCTGTTTTCGATTTTTCAAAACGGTGAAAACGTGTTCTCTTTCCCGTTTTCGAAAACGAATTTTCGAAAACGTTTTCGAAAACGAAAAAAATTTGTGAAGAAAACACAAAACGACTTTTTTGTCGTTTTGGGCGTTTTCAGTGTAAAACTTGAAAAAATTGAAAACGCGGGAAACCCTTTTTTTTTTTTTTTTTTTTGAGGAGGTGGTGTGGTGATTCTCAAAGTTTCAAAAAAAAATTAAAAATTAAAAAAAAAAATTTTTTTGAGGAGATAGTGTGGTGATTCCCAAAATTTAAAAAAAAAATAAAAATTAATTTTTTTTTTTTTTGGTGTTTTGAGGGGGGGTTGTGGTGATTCTCAAAATTTTAAAAAAAAAATTATTTTTTTTTGTTTTGAGAAACTAACAAAAAGAACGCATTTTCAAGAATTTCAAAACAAAAACTCAAAATACAAAACTCAAAATGAATTCAAAACTCAAAACACAAAATTGAAACACAAAGAGAACACCCCCTTAAGTTTTCAATTTCAAAAATAAGGTTTATTTAACCAAAAATCAGGTCATAATTCAACTTATAATAATAACTAGTCACTGCCAGGCGCGTTGCATGAATTTTATATTTATCATATTTTTATTAGCGTATGAATTTTAATTTTTTGGAAAGTTTTTGAAGTAATATCTAAAAATATTTTCATGATATAAGAAAATGATTGCAAATTATTTTTACAATTGCTATAATATTGTGTTATCTAAAAAAATATGCTTGTATATTTCATACTTAAATAAGAAATATATGAGGTTATACAAATTATTTTACCTGTATTTTTTGATAGTGTTGATATTATTGAATTGAATGTGAAGATTATATTCCTAAATTTTGTGTAATTCAATATTGAAAAATTGAAAATTGAGCATAAATTATATATCGACTTACATATTCATATGCGTTTTATATTTTGTCCTTCATGTATTGTAATATTTATTTTATGCTTATGTTGAAAAAATAAAAATCTGAATTTTTTTTCTAACATTCGATTTGGTAAGTGAATGTATGGTGTTTTGCATTCTCGATACTTATAAGTGCAAAAATCAGTATAGACGGTAAGTTGCAATATGGTAGGTAGCATATACGGTAAGTTGCAAATACGGTAGACAGTATATAAGATATTGAAATTTATTGTAGTGGACGAAATCGAATTCATTCATACCGTATATGCACTTTACATATCATATATGCAACATACCGTATTTAGGCATACCGTATTTGCAGCTTACCATATATGTAGCATATCGTATTTACAGCATACCATATTTGTATCAGACCGTATTTACAGCATACTGTATTTACATTATACCGTATTTACAGCATACCGTATTTGCACATATTTTTTTAGATACCGTATTTGGCAGATATTGGTTTTTGTAATTCAATATATTTTTTTTAATTTTATTTCGGGGAATTTAAAAAAAAAGTGATTATGAAATTACTAATTTTTAAATGTGTTTTTTGTTGAAAATAAAAATGATTTTTTATGCTATTTGTAAAAAAAAATAATAAATAAAATTATTGTAATTTTATTATCGTAATAAGAAGATTTACTACGATTATATTTAAAAAAAATTTACAACACAATAAATCCATACTTTTAACCTGGTGACTGCAAAAGTCTTTTGTGTATCAATAAAATATTTTCCATTCAAACAATAATGCCAAATTTTGTGGCATCATGCTTTCATTTTCTTTTTTTCTCAAATTTTACTTTTTTCGTTTTTGTCTTCTTCATTTTTTTAGATCTTTTGTTGTTAGCAATGATTATTTCCTTGAGATTTTTTTTGTATTATATTGAAATTAAACTCATTCTTGTAATTATATTTTTTATTAGATTTAATGCATATTTTTAACTAATAAAATAACAAACTAAACAAATATTAGGTTGCATGATTAAATTTTAAAAAAATAAAAAGTAGCTGCATGACTGCACAGATTGTATTATAACATATACGGTAAGCTATATGTTGTAATATGCATATTGTTGTAATATAACAAAAAAAAAAATTGTACAACAATAATTTCTCATTATATTATGTTAAACATTATATTATAACATATACGTATAGTATGTTATATTTTAACTTTAACATATAGTATTATAGCATACCGTATTTGCACATATTATCTTTAAATTAATCACCAACATTTGTTATAAATAAATCTAAGTCCCATGTAATGTAGATTTAATTCATATTAATTTGCACAATTGTATTTCTAGTATAGACATTGCAGTGGTTTAATTTGCTCTAAAACGACTTCAAAGTTATTTTGCACCGACATAAGAAATTTCAAATGTATAATATGTGTCACTGCATAATTATAAATCGACTTGCATATTCATATGCGTTTTATATTTTGTCCTTCATATATTTTAATATTTATTTTATGTTTATGTTGAAAAAATAAAAATCTGGAATTTTTTTCTAACATTCGGTTTGATAAGTGAATGTATGGTGTTCTACACTCTCGGTTTTTGTAAGTGTAAAAATCGATATATACGGTAAGCTGCACATATAGTAGGTAGCATATACATTAAGTTGCCTGCAAATACGGTTGACAACATATACAGTATTGAAATTTATTGTAGTGGACGAAACCGGATTCATTCATACCGTTTATGCAACATACCATATTTATAGCTTACCATATATGCAGCATACTGTATTTGTATCATACCGTATATGCAGCACACCGTATTTGCATTATACCGTATTTACAGCATACTGTATTTGCATTATACCGTATAAGCAGCACAGTGTATTTACAATATACCGTATTTGCATCATATCATATTTATAGCATATCGTATTTGTATCATACCATATATACAGTATATAGTATTTGCATTTTACCGTATTTACAGCATACCATATTTGTACATATTGTCTTTAGATACCGTATTTAGCAGATATTGGTTTTTGTAATTCAATATTATTTTCTTTTTCATAATTGTATTTTCGGAAATAAAAAAAAGTGATTATGAAATTGCTAAATTTTAAATGTGTTTTTTTGTTGAAAATAAAAATAATTTTTTTATGTTATTTGTAAAAAAAAATAAAATTATAAATCATTATTATTATTTTTTTTATTTCTTACTGTACAGAGAGTTTGCCAACTTTGCGCACATGGTTTGCCATCTCTGTGCATTGTGCGGAGAGGAATTTTTTTTTTTGCTCATGACAGTTTATATTTACTAAAATTATTATTATTTTTTCAACGTTAGCGGCATGATATGTGGAAGAACATTTGTTTGACATAAATAAAATGGAAAATAAAAAATGACATCATGCACAGTAAAATTTGATTAATAGACCCTTCTTCCCCTTTTTATAAAAAGTTATATATATATAAACAAAAAAAAAACGAAGACTCCGTGCACGGAGGCCAAAAAGAAAACTACCAAAAAAAAATCGATGCACTCTATGCACGGGCGTAGTTTTTGCTCCCAACTTGGAAAAAAATAAAATTTTAAATAATTTTAAAAAAATACAAAATAAACAAAATAAAAAAATTACAAGAATTTAAAAAAATATATATAAATATTATTTTGTTAAAATTGAAAAATTAAGCTTTATTTAAAAGAGAAAAGAATAAAAAAGAATAAATAAACTGATAAAAAGAACAATTACTTATAAAAAAAAAAATTATAAACTTTGTCTCCATGCACAGAGACACTGTATCCGTGCATCACATTTGCCTCCGTGCACAAAGGCTTCAGCTAAATTTTTACTTTTTTTTTGCTGTATAGTTTTACGTTATAATTTTTTTTTCAATTTAAAATTCTCTTTAATTCTTTTCTCTTCAAATTTTTTACTTACAAGTAATATGTTGTAAAAAAAATTATGTCGCATATTATCTCTATCTTTTTTTTTAATATAAAAGTGATATTTTTCTTATATCCCTACTATATATATCTATATCAGAGTGGGGAAGGAATGAAAATTGCGTGTTGCAGTAAGTTTGAAGGTAGTGTACAATAAAATAAAATATATATTAAGCAAACGGCGTCGTGTTTTGCTCCCAATTGAAAAAAAAAAACAAAAAACAAAAATGCTACAGTAAAGATGGATCAAGATACTGTTGCTTTCTACAGTGCCCTCACATTCCCCTTTTTATATAGTAGGGATAAGGAAAAATTGCAACAGAGATCCCGAACCTTTAAAACATTAGCAGACTTTACCCAAATCTTTAATTTATTGCAACCGTCATTCCAAACCTTTCGAAACGTTGCAGCGAAGGCCCTTTTTGACGGTTTTCATCCAAATATCTGTTAGTTGACTAAGAAATTGACTTTGACCATATTTTTAATATTTTTGAAAAGGTAAAATAGTAAATTTTCATTTATTACATTAAAATATGTTAGAAATTAAATTAAAAATATAAAAATAAGAAACAAAAAACATTGTCTTCTTCCATGAATCATAGCATCCATGAATCTCTTCTACAGTTGAGGAATCCAAACAAGTCGTGGCCGCTTCAGGGTCCGAGTCGGCTCCTTTGACCCCAATCCACCTCCAACACTAGCTACGCTACCATCACCACCCCCTCCCGACCTAACCAACTCAGCCGAGTTGAATTCCGCGGAAATGTTAGGTTGAGAAGAGTACGATGTGGTCTGTGGCAGTGGGGGAGTGCTCTGATTGGTGTGATTTAGTGGTGGGTTTCGAATATCAAAGGTTAGTGCAAGCTCAGGGGTTATAGGGTTTGTGATAAAGGCATCAACTCTGTGATGGCAATTTCTCTTCCCATTTTGCAAACCAATTCGAATGCCCCCCTCCCCCCTCATCTTCCACTTATTTTATTTTTTATTTTTTTTGAAATAGGCAGTTTATTGGGAATCAAACTATATGTGTTGATTTGTTTTTGAAGATTTTGCCAAGATAAATACAAAAATTCAAAGTGGAAAGTAAAACCATAAATTGAATGAATTTGCAGAGAAATTTCTTTTTTCTCCCTCTATCAAGAAAGACGGTGGCAGCGATGGCGGTGGTCGATTACTGAAGTTGGATTTCAGGTGGGGGTAGGGGTGGGGTGTTGGGAAGAAGACGATGGTTGTTTTTTTTTCTTATTCTTATTTTTTTAATTTAATTTCTCACATATTTAATGTAATAAATGGAAATTTACTGTTATACCCTTTCAAAAATATTGAAAATATGGTCAAAGTCAATTTCTTAATCAACTAACAGAATTTAATTTAATTTCTAACATATTTTAATATAATAAATGAAAATTTACTATTTTACTCTTTCAAAAATATTAAAAATGTGGTCAAAATCAATTTCTTAGTCAACTAACAGATATTTGGATGAAAACCGTAAAAAAGGGCCTCCGCTGCAACGTTTCGAAAGGTTTGGGGTGACGGTTGCAACAAATTAAAGGTTTGGATAAAGTCTGCTAATGTTTTAAAGGTTTGGAGCCTCAATTGCAATTTTCCCTAATAATAATAATAATAATAATATAAAATTAATCTAATTTACCCACCCACACTCCCAAACCATAACATCATTTCCTTCTCTTATCCTTCCTCCGTATCTTTTTATTTTTTGTTTCTTTCTTTATCTGAGTTCACAATATCACACCACAATCAACACAGTCGCTATCGTCGATCCAGTTCTCCAACCATTGATGCAACATTCTTCCTTTCCCGTCACTCTCTACCCTCTCCCTCACACATGAACAACATTGCCACTCTAGACTACCACTTCACAGTGTTGTGCAATGCAGAGATGTGTGAGAAGTCGAACTTGCTCCCTCGTCCCACCATGTCACTCATATCTTCCTCGTTAGTGACATCGTGGTCCGTACAGTCAGGAGATGTTTTCGAATGGAAGTGGGAGGCTCTAGTTGCATCGGTAAAAGAGGACTTGATCGAGATAGCGGAGCTATCGAGTTGGTGTTTGTGAATCAGGCTATGTGCAATGGTTGCGTGTAGTTGTGGTGTGTCATGATATGTGAAGGTGGTGCCGTGGTGATGGTTTTTGTTGGACTTCTTGTTTTTTGTCGTGGTTACAATTTTTCACGTGTTTAGTGTTTGTGGCAATTTTTGTTGGCGATGGCGGCGTCGTATTGTTGTTGGTGGTGGTGGTGACGGTGTTGTAGTTGATGTTGGTGGCAGTTGTGGTGGTGGTACGACGACGACGACAACGAGATGGGAAGAAGAGAGTTTTGTACCCAAATATTTAGATGTTTGTGACTAACTGTTTGATTAATTTGTGATCAAATATTTTGTGATGGATCCAGATTGGAGGTGGGAGTGTGGTATTTAGTTTATGTGACCAATCATTTAATTATGAACTAAAAATTATATAATTTGTGACTAACTAATTTGAAAATTATGATCGGCGAATAAATCGTGATCTATAATTTTTTTGATTTGTGACTGTGAAATAATATATGACCAGTGAATTTGATAATATGTGATTAATAAATAAATTGTGACTGATATGTACGAAACTATGACTATAGATTATATAATTGTGATCTTAATATATTTAATTGATAAAATATTTTTAATTATTTATTTATCACTTGGGTTTTGAATCTTGAAACATAAAATCTGAAAATTGAACAGGTCATAATTAATAAGGGCCTGTTTGGGCCAGATTTTTTCACCCAAAAAATTGATTTTTTGACCGTTATTTTACTATTCCAACCGTCGTATTTGACTTCTTCTATCACAGGTGGACCCCACTTTTCTCCTAATGGTCAAAAAATCAATTCTCAAAATCACTCCCAAACAGGCTTTAATTGAGTTGTGAATTTGCTTAGTGATTTTTTGGCAAATTTAGGCCCATTACTCCAGGAAGTGACCCAATTAGATTAATTCAGCCCAAAAAGTTTATTTGATAGATAAGAACTTGAAATCTGAGTGAATATACACACACATATAATGCGCCTGCATTTTTACTATGTAACATTAAATGTGCTTGCATTTTTACTATGTAACGGTTAGGATTCTTTTACAAATGAAAATGAAAATGGCAACCAAACACAGACTTAGTGTGATATATCCAAATGGTAGTGATGACTGAAATTTGGATACTGTGGTAGTCACTATTTGGAGTGGTTGAATTGTATAAAATGTTATATTTTCAGGTTTTGATTAATGTTTTTGTCTCTCTTTTTTTTTCGAATTTTTGTTATTTTTTTAAGTGTTATTTTCTAATAGTGTTCGTCAATTTTTTTATTACTTTTTCGAAATTTCTATTATTTTTTTATTGTTTGTTACATTTTTAAATTACAAACATCATTTTTTAATAAAAGTTTGGTACAATGTACTTAACTTTATACAAAATTTTTTACCTCAAAAATAACTTTTCAAATGATTTTTTAAAGGACCTATAATTTTTAGGGGTATTTTTGTAAGTTACCCTAATTTTTTAAGGTGTGAACAAGAAAATCTCGATGGATATCATAAAATAAACCTCTAGAAGGACATTTTTATTTTAATTAAGTTGAACAAGAAAATCTCAACGGATGCCATAACGAATAAAGCAGGGGTGGAGGTTAGCTGCCTTACACTCAATTTCAAATTCTTTAAATATTATTTTTAATTCCTTTTAGTTATTGATTTAGCCCTCACAATTAAAATTATACTTCAAGATTTTGTCCCCACAATTTTAGTTATAATTTTACAATCTTAACTCCGCTCCTACAAATAAGTGAAAGAGCCGTCTTTGAAGGTGTTAAGTAAAGGTATGAAAATGCTTCAGATTTGGCGACACAAATTTTCGCTGAAAAGGTTGCTCAAGTCATATACCCACGGACGCTACAAATGTATTAAAACTATCGGATAGAATATGTAAAGATACTAATAACTCTTTTCTAGTGGGTCGAGTGGATGACAAGAATAGAGGGACAGAGCTAGCTTCCGAGAATTTAATTAAACATTGTAAGCTAAGCAATATCGAATTATCCACATCAACCCGGATTTATTCTACACTATTTTGGGAGAAAAATATTACTCATGCATCCATTCACACGGATATTGCCAGGATGGGTGTTCTATTTGTGGTAGCATTATCTGAGGTCGGGATTTATGGACAAAGGGATTCGTACCTCTCAAGACATTCACTGAATCCTTCACGATATTTTGTTGACAAGCACTAGTAACCTTTAACTTAACTCTAAAAGCCACTAGACTCACCATTCATTTAGTGATGAGTTGAACCCCTTTTGAGTTCGATGCCTAAATCAACCAAGCATAGGAAAAGAATAAAACGATATGGAGACGGTCTCATATCTGAGTGGATCGCAAGAAAAATTACATTAGGCCCGACGGAAGCTTTTTACGTCGGGATGGAGTACGTTTTCAAAACTTATTTAGGGTTTGTTTGAGTCACATTATTCCTAAAAAATACATTCTTAAATAGTAATTTGACATCATTTCAACCACACATTCTTCAATAAAATAATATTACATGCAGATCAAAAACTTTTCCTTATTTTTTAACCAAACATTTCCCATCAATACACTATTCAAGAATTCATTATTACCAAAATAATGTGGCTCAAACACCCTCTTATACTTAATTAGTATATTATGATGTTACACCTTGAAAGAAACGTATATGATAGTCAGGCTACATATCAGCTATGTACCTCAAAAATTAATAATTGCGCTCGACTAAAATCCAATGGTTCAACCATGGAACTTTTTATGGAGTACAAAAATCCCCACCAAAGTTAAAATTTTTCTTATGGAAATAATCCCAACATATACTCCTCGTGAATAATACTATTTACAGTTGCTCACTATCCCAATCGTCTTACGTGGCATGCGACTATTAGTAATTTGCTGCATAATAATAATAAAAGAAAATTAATGTATCATAAACCGCCATATAGGATCATGCAGGACGACTACCGCAGTGAGGAATTATGAATAGCATTACTCAATTCATTTTAATCTATGACACCAAAAATGCTAATCCATTTGCCAATGTTGCAAAATTATGGGTAGTTTCTACGCACTCATGCAATGCTACACAACGAGGGACTAACATAGAAGGACACAAAATCAAGTCTCTCTTAACTGAAACAACATTTTTTAACATTTTATTAGCGTTCTTTTTCTTCATCTCCTTCTATTTTAATCTACTCTTTTATTCATTTATTACTAAAGTCAAGTTTATTTTTCGTGTTTCACATTGGTGGAATTGAGAACGGAAACTACCCACTAAAACTACTAACAACAAAAGGAATGTAATTGGAACCAACGATTGAGTATTTCTCTCCATAATGTAGAAAGGCACGGTAAGTACTGAAAATTAAAATTCACTGCAACGATGTCCTTAAATTTTGTAGCTCGCTCAAGTTGGCAAAATGTTTCAAACAGGTTTGCTGAGCAGCTCTTGGATAAAATGAACAAAATTAAACAAAACTCGGAGTTAAACACATTCCACAAAAATTGCATCTGTTTGATAAAAGGTAAGGAAAAAACTAAAGTAAAGAAAATAGATGAATCGAGAACCTTGAACTTCTCGCATTTGATTTGAAAACCTAGGAAGCTCAAAATCAAAGAAACTCATTTCTTCTTGCCAGCCTTGGCAGCGTCTCCAGCCTTCGTCTGCACAACAACATTATTAGGTTTTGTTATTATAATAAATTGGTCTGAATTATGTGTAGTGGAAAAGTAGAAAAAGTTACATTCCTTTACTTGGTAAGAAAAGATTGAGATTTTTTTTCCCTTTCCCCCTTTCTAAAGGAGAAAACTGGACTGGGGGTCTATATGGTCAGGCCTTAAAGAAGAGGCTTTCAAGAAGTGTCAACTACTAGATCCGGAAACTCTGAAAAATAAATATTTTCTTACCTTCTTCACACCACGGATCTTTTTTGCTCTATTCTTCCTCTCTTTTAACTGTTTCCTAGATTTTTCAACCTTAGTATCCAGACCATTCTGCATCAAGATGTACAAAGATTTAAAGACATTCAAAATATAGTGTCTTAAATCTTCAGCACCAATATTAGAAACAAAGATAAACACCACAGCAATCGCAAGAAAAAACTCATAATCATGCAAACAGAGCAAGAACTGCATAAAAAGGGGCCATATTGAGTATAGCTAACAGCTTCACAGTCGCAATTACAAATTATAAATCAGAATTCATAAAGTAGCACAGCACAGCAAAGCAATGAAATTGTTATTTGCACTTAATTTTAAAAGCAACTACTGTCAGTGTGAGAAGTATGGAGCAAAGAAATTACCCTGATAAGCCTGTATTTTGGCTCGTATTTCTTAGCATTCTCTACAGAATCGTAGATCAAGCCAAAACCAGTAGATTTGCCTCCACCAAAGTGGGTCCTGAATTTGAAAACAAAGATCGCATTTGGATCTTTAACTTCATACATCCGTGCCAACTTTTCCTTCAGCTCGGCCTTTGACAATAGCATAAACCCATAAGACACAAACCATAATACAAATGGACTTAAATTACCAAGAAAACACAAATGCATTCCACATTGTGTACTGTGTATAACAAGAACATTGAGCTGAAAATTAATGAATATTTTGAAAATGATTCCTTGTAAGTTTAATATTTGGTACCCAAAAAGTAGGAAATGATATCACGCTTTACATTAACGAGTTTTTGTCTCTTGAATATCCAACTGACCAATTACAAATGCTAGGGGTCCTTCTCCTGTTAGTACGTTTATGCTTCAGACGATTCCAGCCATTGGGAATAATAAAAATTTACACGAAGAATACCAATGGCATTCATCTATTTCTCTTCATTAACATATATCCTAGCACACACATTGTCGTATAATAACTAAGTTAAAGACTGATAGACCTTATCTATAAAATTTCTGTCAGATATTATATGTATGATAAAAGACAGTGCATACTGAATTCCTATACGCTATAGAAAAAATAAATATGGTAAGATATCAAACCTTAGAAACATTGGCTCTTCCTGGATGTAGCACGTCAATGATCTACAAAATAGACCAATATGAAAAGAGATGTTAACCATGAATCAAAACAGGAAAAATTAGAAAGATCATAACCATCTGAGAACTCACAAATTGTTTCCTTGAGAGGAGCCGATTTGTCATGAACTTCCTTGTTCTAATTGTCACTGCCTTATCCGCCATTTTCCTGTAATTTTACCACAAAAAAATAATATATTCAATCAAATGCTACATATACAGGAACTTAAATCTGTATGTATTAGCGTAGAATGAGAGAGACGGCTTGAATATTACGGTATCGCAAGTAGATCGAATCGCTCAGTTGTCGTCTTCTTCGGGTGGATGTTCACCAGCTGCCAAGGCTTTTAATCTAGGGTTTAGAAATAACAGACTATTGTGGGCCTAAGCCGCCTAACCGAGATGATACTAGGCCTAAGTAATGGACTATTAGGAGAAGTTAAATTCAAATTTGGGCCAAGAAAAATCACGCATCGGCCCATCAAAAGTTGCAACAAGTTGGATTAAGCCCATGTCTAAAATCTGATTTTAATCATCACAAATAGGGGACAAAAGCACATGAATAAAATATAGCGATAATATTATGCAAGCCCTGTTTTGGTTTAGCTAAATTTTTTAATTAAAAAAATTTAAATTAAAGTTAACAAATAATTTTGAACACATTTCATAGGATCCCAACTTTTTAACAACACGTTACATCATTTTTTTTATAAAATCTACTAAAAATATGTTTTTTTTAATCTAAATAAATTTATTTTGCGTTCAAGCTCCTGAACACTTATAATTCTTTTGCGATTTTATTTTTATTTCCTTTTTTTTTAAACTCAATTTGTTATTTATTTTTATTTTACATTTGTTATGAGTAAAAATATTATAAGATTGAACAACTTTAAAATTTAAATATTACTTGATAATATATTAAATAAAATTGTTTTTTTTGTACTTGATAATCAAATATCATGGAATAAAATATTATAAAATAATTTTCCAAAATTTCAAAGTAAAAGTGTTCTCTAGTTTTCTGTTTTGAAAGATTAATTTAAAACGACGAATCGAACACTTTTTTAGTAATCTTAAACCAATGTTTTGAAAGTCGACTTGATCATAGCTCTCAAAAAGTTAAGGGGTCAATGGTTGAACGGTTCAAATGGGATCAAACTGTTGATAATAAATAAAATAATTAATAAACAAATTCATCAAAATAATTTGACAATAGCAATATCAAAATAAGAACTTAAGAACACAACAATATCCTACATCTATAAAAGAGCGAAACTTTGCTGGACACGTGTAGCAATTTCAAATCGTCTTCCTTTTTTTTCATCGTTTCTCCATTTTCTCATGCTATCGATCATACCTCTTTCCTTCTCCATTTTTTCATGTTATCGTCATACCTCTTTACTTCTCCTCCATTTCTCCAACACAATTACCCATTTCACGCAAGAATACACGATTTCTGCACGGTGCTACACTGATTTATGAATTAGAGTTTTTTTCTCATTCACTACCCTAATTGTAAACTTTCTCTGGACATTCATCGAAATTTTAGCCACTTCATTTGCCTACTTCAAGGTAATGATTTTACGAAATGGGCGTAATCTTGTACTCATACAATCCATTCTTCTTTTCAATTCTTAAGCCTCGTCATTTCTTTTTTCTGAGTTCATTTGTATGTAAGTATATTTTTTCGATTTTTTGTTCTATTGAATTAATCTTTATTTTTGTTAAGTTTTCATTTGATTATTGTATTTATATGGGCATAGTATTAATTTTGTTCAAAAATAACTTCCAAATGGTGGTGAATGAGCTGATGGGAACTCTGGAGTAATTAGTCCGATACTAGGTCTGTGCTCTTCTCCGACTTCATTTTAAATGTTAAAATCTCTCACTCTCTCTTTTTTAGTATATTTAATTTTTCATTTGTGTTTTATGACGGTGATTTTTTTTTTAATAAATGAAAACTTGACTAGGAGAATAAAAACAACTTTTTTTTAACAAAAAAACAAAAATAAAATAAAATAATAGCAACAGCATTTTTTAGGCAAAAAAAAAAAGAAAAAAGATCTTTAGCTTCGTGCGTGCACGGAGTATGAGCAATATTTACTCCGTGCACGCACGGAACAAATATGTTTCATGCATGCACAGACAAAAAATATAGCTACAGAGCAATATTTACTCCGTGCACGCATGGAGCAAATATGTTTCATGCATGCACAGACCAAAAATATAGCTATGGAATTATCAAAACATTTCAAGAATCTTTTCCAGTTTTGAACTCAATTTCGTGAATAATTGTCTTATCTTGAAGCATTTAATTATGTCAACTATCAATGAGAGACGAGAAAATTCACGTTTCAAAACATTTTTTGAAACACATAAAAGAAGAATAAGGGGAAAAAAAAAAAAAAGTCGAAAGCAGCTCCGTGTGAGGGGAGTTGCACCCCTCACTTTTTATTTTTATTTTTTTCTTTTTATTTTTTAGTAGTGGCCCTTATTATTATTATTATTATTATTATTATTATTATTATTATTATTATTATTATTATTATTATTATTATTATTATTATTATTATTATTATATTTTTTAATATAGATAGTATCCAAATACTCCAGAAGTTAGATTTAAGTCGTTTAGGACATACAAAATATTGTCTAATAAGACGTTTAGGACATACAAAATATATTATCAAGTTTCATATTCATACAAAATATTGTCTAATAACAAATTTTCATTAATGTAGATGAATGACTCACTAAAAAAAGTTGAACTTTATTCTTTTTTAAACATTCATTTTTTTTTAAACCAATTTTGAAAATGTATTTTTATTTACCAATGAATTTCTGAAAAATTTGCACACACTTATTTCTAACATTAATTAATCACCAACCAAAAAAACCCCATTTTTTCTAAGATTTTAATGGTCCCCTTCATTTTTCAAACAAACCCCATTTTTCTTTGTCATTTTCTCTCCTTTTAATCCCTTAGTGAACCAAAAAGCAAGTGACAAATGATCATACAGTTCCTACTACACAAACACAACTTTTCTTTTGAAACAAGTTCACAAGTTGCATCTATTTTAACCGTGTAAAGGATCTACATTTTTTTTCCAATTTCCAAAGTATCCATTTTTTTACATTGTGTACCATTTTCTAATATAAAAGTTTTCTATTTGCAAGCTTTTGTATTTATAAGTATTGGACCGTTCTTCCTGCTTAAGGCAATCTGTTAAGCATAATTTTTGCATTTTGCTGATTTTTGTTTATTGTTATTATTATTATTAATTTTTTTTTTGTCATGCGTATAGAATTTGTTCTTTATTATTTGTATTAATTTTTGGATATCATAAGAATTTGTATTTGAATTTTTTATTATTTTAGTATTTCTCTGTAGTTATGAAAATTGGGATATCCACATTTCTAGGTCAGGTATAATACATTCAGTTATATGCCTAACAAATTTCTAAGACTTAATTTTTAGCTACCACATCTCTATATTCTCAAATATATGCTCTTTCAGAGTATTTTTATGCTAGAAATGATGTAGGGTTGGTTAAAAATATTAAGTTGGCAATGTCAACTAAGGTTTCAAGGGAAATGATAGCAAAGATCACTCACAAGTTAACAATATGCTAGACAATTTGACAACCAAGATTGTAATCATAAATTGCCTATCAAGGGAGTGCATCTTTTAGATAACACTGCACAAGAGATCAAATTTAAAGCATTTCGTCTTATGGTAAAATTGTTCATTTCATAATATAGGTTTCAAAATTTGATTTGCTGGAAGCTACTTGTATAGAATGTCCATTATAAGTTTCAACATTCTTGTCTTAAAAAAGCAATTCACTAACAATGATTTGAAATTCGAGTTTTATAAAAAATCATTGCAATGTAATAGTTGGCTGTTTTATGTTACATCTCTTTTCCTAAAGCTTATGCAACTTGGTTTAATTAATATAACAAAAGTTTTATAGTCATTCACTTTTGTATGCATATGTTGAAAATCAAAGAGGAAGAATTTTGGTTTTGGCTTCCTAGAGTTCTACTGACATATTTGGATAGGGATAGATTGCACAATTTCAATGTAGAAAAGTGACACTCTTTTATCTTTTTATTTTCAAGGTTGCTTAAAATCATTCTCAGAATTCGTTATGTATTATAATAAATTTGGAATTGCTTGTTGTTGTTTGAATTTAATACCCTTTCGCAGGTTCCCTAATGATATTCAATATATTGGAGGAGGCTATTGCGCTGCTGGCAATTGATGATACAAAACATCGTATGTTGTCTTCTCTCTTATTTTTTCATTTTTCTTGATGCTAGAGGGTAAGGTGCTTTACTATTTGTAATAAAGAAATCATACATAAGTACAATATTAGAATGTCATGGGGTTCAAATGACTGCTACGAAAATGAGAAGGCAAAAAAAGTGATTAGGTTCAAGAAGATTTGGTTATTGCTCATCCATCATTCTTACAATTTTGAGTTCAAATTTGGTGTCTCCTAGAGTGTTCCTTATGCTTAATGCTTTTAATCAATTTGCTTTATTTTCCATCCACTTATTAAAAAAACCAATCATTAATTGTATTTTTTCATCGAGTTTTTGCATTTTAAATGAGACTATCAGTTAAGCCATTTGAGTTTTATTATTTCGAATTACATTACTTTACAATGTGATTTTACATTTTTAGACAATGATTAGTATGGAAAAAAAATTAATTTTCAATTGCTTCTAAGTTTAATAAAGACGTTTACTGTTGTAGTGGAAATATTATGTTGTGCGAAATCGGTCTACCACACCATTTCCTTCGGTTATCACACCTTTGTTAGGCCATGACATTCGTTTGGTGAGTGCTATAATTATTCTGCACATTAAGAGTATGTTTTAGTAGATGTTGCAGCTGGATCCATCAATTCACTCTCTTTCTATGGGGAATTTATATTTGAGAGCCCTTTTTATATAATCTCCATGGAGAATTTATATTGAGAGACCCTTTTTACGTAATTCCAAGATTAAATTTTTACTATTTAATTGTATTCCTAATATTCCTATGACAAGTTCGAAGGAAATTGATTGTTGTTAAATTCGCTACTTCTTTAACAATTGTCGTGTATGGACATTCACAGCCATCATACACTTATATTTAACATGCACCAAACCAACGTGCAACACACGTTTTCCTCACTAGTAATCAAAATAAGAACTTAAGAGTACAACAATATAATAATAAACCTCTTTTTCATCCCCTTCTTTCTAAATGCCATATGATCATATCAGGGATATTTCCCAAATCAATAACAATATCAAAATAAGAACTTAAGAGCACATCAATACCAAAAAGTTCCACATATTTTTCTTGAAATTCACTTTACAAGACTCAATAGATTAAACACTAAAAAAATCTACAAATTAA